TTCTAAATAAATAAATTAAATATTTCTCGTGTTTTTTTTTTTTTTTTTTTTTTTTCACGGAACGTACACACAGGGCCGATGATAAAGGCACGTAAAAACTAACATTCTTAACGACGTTACAAAAAGAATTAGCCTGTTGACTTGCTGTTAGATCGTACTTTCAACTCTGGATATTAACCTCGTGGAGCCATCGTTTTGTATAAAGGGTGAGCGAAAAAGAGATAGATAGATAGCTAAAAAAACGCGAGAGAGAGAGAGAGAGAGAGAATTCAGAGTCCGTATTATTACATGGGAGTGCATTTGCCAGATTAAAATGCTATTGGGATGCATCGAAACGCTTGTAAATATGCGCTCGTAGATATGGTTACGTGTGCGTGCGTGCGTATATGCATGCGTGCACGCGTGTATGTAAAACGGATATCCTAGACCGTCGACGATCGGAGAATAAAATTCGATCCGTTCGATAGGTGGATCCATTGGGTGAAAATGGATCTAATAATTCCAGCGAGAAAAACAAACGTTTCATAGCGGGCTTATTTCTCGTTGATGGCTCGTTCGAAACAGTAAAGTTAGGCGAATCGTGACTAAGTGAAAAGAAGAAAGATGGTTCTAACGTTCGAACGAATAATCGGGAATGCTCGCGTAATCATCTCGAGTCGATCGAGCAACTTCTATCTCCTTTTTATCTTCCTCCTCCTTTTTCTTCCTTTTTTTATCGGTCATTTTTTGCCTGGCTGCTGCTGCTGCTGCTGTTACTACTACTACTACTACTACTACTACTACTACTACTACTACTACTACTACTACTACTACTACTACTACTACTACTACTCTTGATTCACCGACCTTTAAATCAATGCACGCTATGCATTCAGTTAACGATCTTCTATCACAAAAACGAACAAAAACTAGAATAATTCGGATTAAGAGTGAATGATGCAACTAAGTGCAAGGTACATTTCGAATAGAATTTTTCTTTCTTTTTATATATATAACTATACATTACAAAAGTAATTATTCGCAGTTTAAATTTATATATATATATATATATATATATATATACACAAACGTACATGTACACGTAGTTAGTTACGTATGGCTAAGTAACTTTAAGTGTTCTCGAAAATGTTCGATAATCGACGTGACGTTGATTATATGCATGCAAGGAAAGAGGAAACGTTAGTGAATTCAAACAGGGTGAATACGAAAATGGCTGTCTACTTTCCATATTTATAGGATGGGTGGTGGATGGAGAATGGGGACTGGCTGTACGCCCCCATACATTGGCATAGATACCCCTCGTAGTGGGACCTCTTTAGAGACAGTCTACTCCTCAACGACACAAGGGGTTCCAACCCTCCGACAAACCGAATCCTCCTCCACCACCACCTCTTCCTTATTCTCTTCCTTTTCCTTTTCCTATTCCTACTTGCTCTTTGCTACGAAGCTTTGTAGCTTCGACCAAGCCATATAAACCAAACAGTATTATCGTAGACGGCTCGTCGGATTATCGCGACTGTTCGTAATTCGATTCGTCGAAGGTAATTAATGCCCTTTATGTCTTTCTTCCTATGTCTATGTATTTCATCGTAAATTTATCTATTAGATATATATCTTTCTTCCTCTCTTTTTATCGATACAAAGAAAGAGGGAAAGAGAGAGAGAGAGAGAGAGAGAGACAACGAAGTTATCCATACGTCGACAAGAGTTTTAATTAAATCCGTGAAACTCGATACGGGCGACACTTCATTCTCAATTGCTAAAGCAATGATCGACGATCCAATAACGTTACTCGAAAGCATGTTAACAGATACCGTCGGGTTTGACCACGAAACTAGTTTTATACGCGTCGCTTTTGTGAAAGTTGAGAAATTTTCAAACGTGAAATAAGAAGAAGAAAAGAAGATATATATATATATAAAGAAAGAGAAAGAGAGAGAGAGAGAGAGAGAGAATTGGGGAAGAGAGGAGTCTCGAGTCGCGAGGGGCCAACTGCAGGATGGTAAAAGCGCGAAGGCATTATCGAAGTTCGTTGGAGGAGTTTCCTCTTAACGAGGCGTTCCTCCCACTCGCGTAATTAAATTCCATCCCTCTGGCAGACATCGAGTGTGCAAGCAAGCAAGCAAGCAAGCAAGCAAGCAAACAACTAAGCAACCAGCCGAGCTAGGCTTCGTGTGCCGTTCTTTCACGCAAGAAGAAGAAGAATAAGAAAGAAAAAGAGGAAGAGGAAGAGGAAGGGGAAGAGGAAGAGGAAGGGGAAGAGGAAGAGGACTTTTTCAACGTCGACATCTAATGCCATTTTTTATTCACTCACTTGTTCTCTCTCTTTCTCTCTCTCTCTCTCTCTCTTTCTCTGTCTCTCTTTCTCTTTCTTTTTCTTTTTCTTTCTTTTTCTTGTCCTCTGCGAATCAACCGCATTCTTCGGTAGATATCAATATCTTTTCCGTTTGCCGGAAAAAAATGTCAGGTCAGCTCTCCGGAGAGCGAGAAAAAGAGAAAGTGTTAGGAGAAAGAGAGGAGTGATGGAGGAGAAAGAAAGAAAGAAGAAAAGAATGAAAGAAAGAGAAAGAAGATGATATCCTTTTGGGAGACCTCATTCTCATCTTCCTCTACTCACCATTTCCTCCCATGAAAACGTTTTACTCAGCTACTATTCAACTGCTGGTATATTCCATTTGATATCAAGCCATGATTTTCCTAAAGCCGATGAAAACTTTCAAACCCCGAGGATATACAATACTATGCACTAGGATTCTTTTTCTCTTTTTCTATTTCTGGTGCAGGTGTGCGCAAAGAGAAAAGGATGATGCGGAAAGAACAGAGAAAGAGAGAAAGAGAGACAGAGAGAGAGAGAGAGAGAGAGAGAGAGAGATAGAGAGAGAGAGAGAAGAGTGAGAGAAAGAAAGAAGAAGAACATAGAGGAGACAACGTGTGTATTGCCATGGGGTTGGCACCAGGCATTGATTAATGGACTTCTTGTTGGAAGTACGCGAGCGCGTTTCGAAGCCCAGCGAAAAAATTGCTCAACTGCAGTCGAGAGGACAGGGGCGCATATACAACGAGAACGACAATGACAACGACTACGGCTACGACGACTACGACGACGACGACGATGCTAGCTAGAACAAAAGCATGCTCGATTAATCGGAGTCGTTCCACGCGCCTCCGTGATCGTTCGGTCCGTCGTTGTTGTTTAATCGCGAGCGAAGGGCAACGTTGGCGGTTGATTAAGAACTCGTTGAATCGATACCGACGCTCGTTTATCACGAGATCGTATGCTCTACCTATCTACCTACCTATCTAGCTAGCTAGCTAGAAGCTACCTACCTACCTACCTACCTACCTATCTATATCTATCTAGCTGTACCTACCTATCCTCGTTATTTTTATCCTTATCCGTGTATTTTTTTTTTCTTTTTTTTTTTTCTTTTTTTTCTTTTTTTTTATACATCATGTACAAGTTTGGTATGTCACTCGCGAATTTTTTTCTTTACGGATTTATTAATCCCCGTAATTGGGTACGTTCGTCAATAAACCAAGGGCAACTTTATTCGATAAAACTAGTAATATCTATCGTAATGTGTTTTTCTTTTTCTTCCTTCCTTTCTTTCATTCTTTCTTTCTTTCTTTCTTTTTTTCTTTTTTTCCTTTAATTTTAATTTAATTTAATTCAATTTTGTTATATATTATATCATTTTATTTTATTTTATTTTATTTTATTTTATTTTATTTTATTTCACTTTATTTTATTTTTACGAGTAAATAATTTTGCATAACCACGAACAGGTAATCGTATTCGATATCACTTTGTATTTTATAGCTTCGCTAAGAGCGCTTTTTTGTCTCTCTCTCTCTCTCTCTCTCTCTCTCTCTCTCTCTCTCTCTCTCTCTCTCTCTGTCTCTTTGTCTCTCTCTCTCTCTCTTTTTTTTTTGGTCTCTTTATCTCCGATGAACCAGCACTACGTTCTTTTATATATCCAACCGCTGGCTTGTTGTTGATTATTTTCAAAATAGAATTAACGACGAACGTACGCGTATTCGACCACAGAAGAACACACCTTTTATATTGTGCGATAAACGAATCGTCAAAATGAAACGAGCTCGTTTTTACGATGAGTATTTCCCGTTTTTTTTTTCCCCTTCTTTCGTTGGTTCAATAGGAATATATCGATTTGCGTTTTGCTTCTCCATGAAAGGATCAACTTGTGGGTAAATACAATCACGTTTTCAATGTTCTCGGAGATAATAATAAACCGTATACGTTTTCTATCTCTCTCTCTCTCTCTCTCTCTCTCTTTCTCTCTTTCTCTCTTTCTCTCTTTCTCTCTCTTTCGCCATAGATATCGACGAGTTTCGTAACTAAAATATAAATATGCCGAGTTGAGTACGATTCCATAGTACGAGAAAATAGTACGTATTTAGCTACTCACTGAAAATGTTTTCAGACGGTGATCCTACATATGAGTCCTCTAAAATATCGATTACGTAGGTATTCCTCCAATCCCAACCTCATCCACACCCCTTCTCTTCCTTGAATAGAATCAAAATCTCTACGCACCCCCTCTGGCAAATAATAATATTAACGTCCATTAACTTCGGTATCACTGCCGCAAATTGAAGTTGATAATTAACGATGGAGTCACATCTAGCTATGTATTACGAGTTTCATTATGGAACTAATTAACGTAAACTAGCGCTGAGTCGTGCATATTTAATAGTGAAACTTTACAGGGCAAAATGTATAACGCATAACGCATTCTTACGCCGTTAAACTTTCCGTAGAGACGAGGACCTTTAATTTAATTAACTGGTAAACCCCCATATAACAACAAACAAACGACCTTTCGTTTTTGATAATATTGAATATACGAGTTAGAAACTGACGTGGTTATTTTCCCCGAGAACGTACGCTCATATTATACGAATTTCATCTGGTCGCGTAAGCGATATAAGTATTAATATCAATATTCATGGATAACTTTGTTCTTCGATTGTTACAG